AAACAATGTTCCACCGGAGAATATAATTACCTTCGCCTACGACGATATTGCAAACAATCCCAGGTAAATATCGCATACAATTTTCGCAATATGGTAGCAAATAGAGTGTAGAAACGCGCACCGTTGTTTGGTTTTGACATGTCTCATGGTTTTGCCGTCATGTCGGATTTCCTCTGGCTGGCGCGTTTTCCTGACTGTAGACGCCATAGAACCCTGAAGCATGCAGCACATGTTGATGATATTCATAATGAGGTCGATGTTCATAATGGTATTTACTTGTTTGAATAGTCAGAAATGAATCACACTGATCTCTAGATGTCGTTTTAGTGCTGCTGCAGCTCCCGCTGATGATGACGATGATGATAACGGTGATGATGATGATGGTGATGATGATGATGATGATGATAATGGTGATGGTGGTGCTGATGATCAGAATGATGATGATTAGGATGATGATATTCAGGATGATGATGTGATCCGGATGATGATGATGATGCCGATGATGATGATGATGATGATGACGATGATGATGATGATGCCGATGATGATGATGATGATGATGATGATGATGATGAGGATGAGGATGATATGTCCTCGTTTCATTTGTCAGTAAACTGAAAGTAATCACATTTCTATCTAGATGTTTTAGTATATCAACTGGCTATTGTTGTGGAGCAAATAGTAAGCAGAGAATCTAGTAAGCCAAACATTTTGTAATGCAACCGAAGAGGAGAAAAATCTTTGAATATAGAGTTACCTAGAAGAATTTGCTTCGCGCACCATTCGGAGATCATTGGAAGATACCTAAATTATTTCTGCGAAAAGGACTATTATTAGTCACATTCAATGAAATGCGTGACAGAAGTTGCACGCATTGTCGTGAAAATTTATTCGAAAAGTGGCAGGGGAACCAACTTCCAGCAGCATTTATGAACCTTTCATTTCTTCTTGTTCGACCTACGTGCTAAATTCTCTCAAAAGACCCACTGCCACTTTTCATTCTTTTATTCCAGGAATCCGTTTAAAGGCCAAGTGTTCAATCACTACAATCACCGAGATGTCTACAAAGGTGTGGTAATTGACTACCGTGGAAAAGTAAGCCCGTGTTCCGGTGTGCAGCAATCAAGTGAATTCCTTCATCAGTTCACCGTGCAACACCAGATGCAAGTAAATGACACTGCGGATCAAAACACAATACAAACCGCAGGGCAGATCAATCAGTTTTACTATATTACAGAATGGTCAATCCACTTGAACGAACACTAGTCATAAGGTCACAGAGAACCTTCTGCTTCTGGCCTGTGCAACAGGCTAGCGTTGTTGTCAAAAGAACCAGGAAACCTGCGCGAGGATCAACAGTGCCCGAATAGCTTTCTCCGAGGAAATATCCTGTGATATCCCGGGCCGGCACATTCAGCTAAAGAATATCACAAATAAGAGGTGCTCAACTGTGATTCAGTTGAGTGCTGATGAATGATACTTACATCAAGATAGCTGCAATTTCTAACGTATATATATTATGCATTACTGAGCTACTGAGGTAGAGATGAGTGTTACTTGGTAGTGCTTCCTCCTAGTCCACGTTCAACTCAACTACTAACACCAGACTCGGGCAGCAAATCCAGATGCCATGCTTGGCAAACAGACCACCAATCGAATTGTTCTGTTTTCAGCATACAGCGACCATTGTGAAAATAATATGAGTGAAGCTGGAGGACAGACCGTAGATATCAATTATTTGTTAGATTGCAAATGGATGGTTATTGTGAATAGACTGAGTGTGAAGAACACCTTTGTCACAGGAATAATTGGTCATGCATTTTCATCCGTTTTAGGATGTCACGCGGGATAACTTCGTGAAAGTGCTGAAAGGCGATAAGAAGCTTGAATCCAACGAGAAGAAGGTGCTTAGAAGGTAAGTTTGTGCGGAAGGTTCGCCTCATCTTGGTTATAATATTTTCCCTCATTAGTGTATGCATTATGTAGATATTTTATGTAACAGATGTAATCATGCTAACAAAAGCGTGATTCTGAAAGAGCTGGATGTGACTGTTCCAACGACAAAATGATCAGACTAGCTAAAGTGGAAATCTGCTTCCAACGACTTTCGTGCATTCAAAAAACCATAAGTGCTACTACATCCCGTGATGCGAGCATTAGCCAACAGACTTTTGAGCGTTTGCATGTTCTACCCACGCCATTCTATTCACGCTGGGACCCTAGCCAACAGACTTTTGAACAACCGAATTTCCAGCCCCGTATATATGGGACCATGCAAACAGCAGACTAGTGGAAGTCAAATTAGCTACTAATTATATCCAGCGGCGTGTACAAAACAATATTACGAACTACGTGGTTCCTATGCTTCCATTGCCGCGGGTTTTTTGTTGCGTTTTCCTATGCGCGACAGCGCCACCCAATGAGCTACGCTTCAAGACCACTTTAAACTTTCTGCCCACTAACAGCGGTCCTGATGACAATGTGTTCATCTTCTTCTCTGGCTTTGGTACGACTTCCTATATTGCCTTCCTAGGAGGATATGTAAGTTAATTTAATTTTAACACGCAGTTTGTTAATCGGAAGCTAAATAATGGACGAATTGAAAAGACTTACGTAAACATTTTGGCGCAATGATATGGGTAGTTCTTTCTAAAAAGGAGTTCATAGTTATGCTGTTCTACACATCAACCGAAATATGGAACACAAGCTACGATGTGCGTACGTCACTCTCAAGATTGATATCCCCAGGAATTCATGTTTGTTAGGTGCTTTAAATGACAACCTCACGCAGATTATATTTTACGAAATTTAGGGTCGCTCGACTCACATGATTTGCGGTTGATCCACTCAGAATGCTGAACAAACGTAAACACCATTAACAAAGAAGCTGGTCATAAACGATCACTAGTGAGGCGTGGATGATCCGAAGAACGCGTCAGTCGAATTATTTCTCACTAGGCAACATACTGAATCTCACTTCTAGAGCGAAAGCACTAATGTCAATTAGTATGAAGATTTGCGTTTGTGTATGAGGAACCAGTCTGTGATGGAAAGCCGAGAAGCAATGTAGAACTGTTGCATCATTATTGGAAATCATCAGTGTTGACCTTGATGGATGCAACGTGTAACCGTTCGGCCACGAGCGACCAATTAACAGCCTGATTTATCCGCACTAAGTCGGGAGAATATGTAAGTGAATTTAATTTTGGTGACCACGGTTTTAACAAGCAGTTTCTTAATCGGAGGCTAAATAGTGGACGGATTGAAAAGGCTTACGTAAACATGTTTGTGCAATGAGATCGGTATTCCTTTTTAAAAGGGATTTCATAGTTATGGTGTTATACACATCAACCGAAACATGAAACACAAGCTACGATGTTCGTACGTCACTCTCAAGATTGATGTATCCAGGAATGCAAGTTTGATAGGTCTCATCAAGGTGCTTAAATGACACCCTCAAATAGGTTTTGTTTTACGAAGTTTAAGGTCGTTCGACTCACAAGATTTTGCGGTCGATCCATTCAGACTGCTGGGCAAACGTAGATACCACAGACAAAGAAGCTGGTCGTATACGGTCACTCATGAGGCGTGGAGGATGCGAAGAACGCGTCAGCCAAATTCTTCCTGACATGACAACATACGGCTTCTCGCTTCTAGAGCGGCAGCACGAATCTTTAATAGTATGAAGTTTTGTGGTTATGTATGAGAAACCAGTCTGTGATGGGAAGCCGAGAAGCAATGTACAACTGTTCCATCCTTGTTGGAAATCATCAGTGGTGCGCTTGATAAATGCAACGTGTAACCGTTCGGCCACGAGCGACCAACCAACAGCATGATTCATCCGCACTAAGGCAGAACATAACGTGGCTCATTCTTCAACCAAGGATCCACATCACTGGTGACTGACTCATCGATTGCCTCATCTCAATCTCACGAGTAATTTTCTTCTTGTCTTGCGACAGATGAATGCCATGGAGTTGAACGATACCCTCGCCTACATGCATTCAAAAAAAAAGTTCAACAAATTGGTGCTGTACGTGGAGTCTTGCAAATCTGGCTCTATGTTTAAAGATGTTCTTCCTTCGAATATGGGAAGTAAGTAGCGTAAATTTCCGGTTGATTCTTGCATGGATCCTTTGAAACAGCACTTAGAATGTCAATCATATATATGGTTTAAGAGCGGCGTTGACCCGTGAAACAGAACGAAGTTCCAAACTTGGTTATGCTTGGTCAATTGGCGATCTTTGTATGGAAGTAGCACATGACTCTACTCAAGAAGCGTTTAGTTTAGGATAGCAAAATGTCCAGCCTTCATCGATTAACGTCGCTTGCGTTGCTGAACCAGTTTCATATGGGTGGAGAAAATCATTGTGTGATATTTTGGTGTCCCTTTGCAGCAACCACCAATGCCAAGTGGATAACTTCATTGTAAATTTTCAATGGATCGTGGGTCTTCAACCCAGCAACCAACAGGTCTAATGATTGTGGCGTCAGTGGTCCTTTTGGCTGGAGGGTTACCGTAAAATACAGATTATAGTTTCACGCACACTTATATCATTTTGACGGGCTGACCCAAAGAATCCCAGGAAGAATGCCTCATTTATGAGGGTGTTTAGCAACCTCCGCCCAGTCTGGGTTCAAGTCTTGATTAGGTTTTAGCGAATGTCAGGGACTGCGCCTACTTGATTCGCCGCACGAAGCATGAAAATAACTCTGTTCTGTCAATGAAATTTCAGCGACTTTCTGAGTGTTGTGTTAGTTCTAGACGTCTTGCAGCTTCATTATTTCTGTGAGTCACAGGATACGTTCGTCGATAATCTACACAACTATCTCACACACCTTTAATACTGACCCATACTCTCTATTCTGTTGTCTGAACCCCTAAACATGCAGTCTACGTAACAACTTCAGCCAAGGAAGATGAACAATCATGGGCTGTTTTTTGTTTTGACTCGAAAATCGATGTTTGTATGGGGAACGAATACTCGTATGAATGGATTACAGATTCGGAACAGGTAAGTTTTAGCAAAAGTGTCGCGTCGCAGATAGTCAGTTGTGGATGGGTTGTACGGTAATATTCATCAGCCAGTGGTAGTCCAGTTGGTTCTCAAAACAACTTATTTTTTGTTTTGTTTT